AGCTGTTTTCAGTCAGTCTACATGTTTGACTCTTGACTGCAAAAAGATGTATAATTTACCATACATCTGCAGAGTAGCAGTGGCTTCAATTCAAGCCACGCGTAGGTAAGACGAGCTGTGCTGATTCATTCCAGGAGCCTCTCCAGTGAAGCATCTTGTTTCCCCCATGAGCCAGCCATGCACTCATGGAAATAGTGCTTTGGCCATGGGCAGTATAAAAATATAATAACAATAACAATAACCCAAAGGAGGCCTAGAGAGCACAATGCTGGATCAGGGTCACCATGAGATTGGCAGGTTTATTTTGCTCCCTTAAATAGTGATCCCCAGGAGGGGCAAAGTTGTAAAGTGGCTACACAGCAAGTCAGGCAGAAGATACTGGAGAAATGACCCCACAGAAGAACTAACTTCCTCCCTCAAAGGCTACTTTGCTGTGTTTCTGCAAGATAAGGTCAAAGCAGCTTGCGACTGGCTCCTGATCCTGTGACATCAATTGAAGCTGTAGGAGAAAAAAATGTTGGAAGGTTGAGTTGACTGGAAAAAAAACAATGAAGGATTTGCCGCTGAGCATTCCCTTGCAGTCTGGACAGTAGCAACATCTCCAGCAGCATACATGGATCTGCAGACGTAGTCAGGGACAGCATGGCGGTCTCCCAAATTCTGTTCAAGCAGGTTTGATGGCCTGGAGTGAAGTTGGGGACTAGCAGAAGGAGGCCATTGGAAAGCTTGCAACACCTGCCATGCCCAAAAGCCCCGCCATGCCCAACAGCCCTTTGGCAACTTTTCCACAAGCAGAACAGGTACACCTAAAACAGCAAGAGCCACAAATCCAAGAAAAGAAGTAGGTGTGAAGAATAAGAAAATTAGTGCCAGTAGTTGTGGCTTCATCCATAATTAATTTGTCTCCAACAGTCTCTTGTTTAGCTCCATTGACCTGATTATAAACAGGAATTTCTTCCATTGAAGATTCCTTGCTTCCTTAAATGGCAATGCATGTAGGGAATGCTGCAATAGACAAATGTGAAGGTAATTCGGGAAGGAAATATTGCTTTGGTTCTGACTTCTGAAGGATGAGTGTGGTTGGCAATCGGATAAAGTTGGATGAAATCAAGAATAACTGTGTATGCTCATGAAAATAGCATTGAAAATCCACAGGTAGTACCCAGGTACAGACACACAAACACCCACACAAAGCCTGAGGAGGTTTTCTGGGCAACTCAACAGTTTGTATAATTGCTGGTCCTGATAAATGTCCTGCTGCCTTTTTTCCCTGGGATCACAGCACAGCAGGGGAGGAGAATGAAATTCCCCTCCCTGACACAGCTCTAAATGTACTTTCAGAAATTTACTGTGAATGGAAGGATTCCGTTGGATGGACAGAGGAATATTGGAAAGCGAATAGCTGGAGAGGAAGGATTAATCTTCCTTGCCATATAGGATGACCTCAATCCAAATCAGATTGTTTGATTAGTTTTACTTCAGAGAAAAATTTAAAACTCCTGTAGGATTTGGAATTACTGCTGTCTGTAGTCTCAGAGTTCTGCAATTCTTTGTGATGACTCATTCCCAGTATTGTGCTCTGCATCAAGACTGAAAAACAACACCTGGTTTTAGCCTCAATGTGCCTCATGTCAAATTGCTATAATCACCTTTAATTGTCTAAAGGGCAGTTCTGTTGCTCCTCGACATTCCTGCAGATTTCTAATGAACAAAGCAACCCTACTTGGGTGTGAAGGACAGTGCCAATATATACATTGATCCTTGATCAGAGGGATAAATAATGACAGCCACTGCTCTGAAGAATCAACTACTGTAATCACAGTACTTTAGGTAGGAAAAAGTGGCTGTGGATGCAGGGCACAGCATTGCCTTCTGTTAGCATGGGGGAATTAGGAGTAGTGTTGCTAACCTTGCTTCTACGTATAGGAAGCAAGGCTGCAGCTGAAACAAGCAAGCTCATAGAAACATAGAAAAAGAGCAAGTCAGAAGGGGTCTCCCGGGACATCTAGTCTGACCTCCGGCACCAGCCAGCACTGCTCACGACATGCCCACCATGTGGACCTCCAGCCTATCCTTGAACACGCACACCGATGGGGCCTCAACGACCTCTCGTGGAAGCCCATTCCACACCCTCGGGGTCCTGCCTGTCAGGAAGTGCTTCCTGGCATCCAAATGGAACCTTGGCTCCCTGAGCTTTGCTCCGTTGGAGCACGTTCTGCCTTCCTCTGCAGGGAAGAACAGGTCTCTACCCATCTCCATGTGACATCCCCTCGTATACCTGTATGTCGCCAACATATCCCCTCTGAGTCTCCTCTTCTCCAGTTTGAAGAGACCCAGTTCCCTCAGCCTCGCCTCATACGGCATCCCCTGCAAACCAGCCACCAACCTTGTGGCCGTAGGCTGCACTGACTCCAACCTGGCTATATCCTTTCTGTAATGAGGGGCCAAAACTGTGCACAATACTCCAGTTGCGGGTGCACCGGAGTCGTGTAGAGTGGTAGTAATACCTCTCTTGATCTAGAAGCCACACTTCTGGCTATGCAAGCAAGGGTGGCGTTTGCCCTCTTGACCACCACATCACACTGCTGACTCATGTTTAGCCTGCAGTCGACCAGCACCCCGAGGTCCTTATCACAAGTGCTGCTCTCCAGCCACTTGTCACCTAACCTGTACTTATAACAGCTATTCCTATGCCCCAAGTGCAAGACCTTGCACTTATCCACATTGAACGCCATCCTGTTGTCTCCTGCCCACTTCCATAGTCTGTCCAGATCCTTTTGGATCTGGAGTACCTGCTCCTCAGTTGTGGCCACTGCTCCAGTTTTAGTATCATCTGCAAATTTGATCAGCAGACTGTTCACCCCCTCTTCCATGTCGTTAATGAAAAGATTAAACAGGATCGGCCCCAGGACAGGGCCCTGGGGGACCCCGCTTGTCACTGGCCGCTATCCCGATGATTCCCTGCTAACGGTTACCTTCTGCTTTCAGTCAGTCAACCATGCCCTAATCCACCAGACAGTGCTTTGGTGTATTCCAAAACTCCTCAGTTTCTCCACCAGGATATCATGGGGAACTTTGTCAAAGACCTTGCTGAAATCCAGGTATACCACATCCACTGCATCCCTTCCATCTAGCCATTGTGAAACCTTGTCATAGAATTCCACAAGTTTTGTCTGGCAGGACCTGTTTTTGCAGAAGCCGTGTTGTGTGGCTGTCAGCCTCCCTTCCCTATCTAGCATCAGTAGATCTCTCTCTATTATGAGCCTTTCCATTGTTTTTCCTACAATGGACATAAGGCTAACCAGTGTATAATTCCCCATGTCCCATCTACTACCCTTTTTGAAAATTGGGACCACTGATGCCACCCTCCAGTCCTCTGGAACTTCATCTGTTCTGCACGAGATCTCAAAAATGGAGCCCAGCGAGCATAAGAGAACCCCTGCCAACTCTCTAAGTACTCTCGGGTGTAACCCTTCTGGGCCTGGCACCTTTATAATGTACAATGCCCTGAGGAGCCCCTCGACTTCAAGGGGGGTGACTCTAACTTGTGCCCCTAAGTTGCCAGCCTCGCCTAATCTCCTATGCGGATCTCCCCCATCCTGCTTTGGGGAGAACACAGAGGCAAAATAGTTATTTAGCATCTGTGCCTGTTCCCTCACATCAGTCACTGGCTCTCCTTCCTCATTATTTAGTGGTCCCGCCACTTGTCTCCCCTTCCTCTTCCTATTTACATGCTGAAAGAAGCCCTTTTTGTTCCATGAGCCACAGCCTCCACTTCGTGAGTATGCACAGCTGGGTGATCTCATGATTGGTGCCATAGCTTCTCTGTCCTTCATTGTTTCCGATCCATTTACCTTTTCTGATCCATTGACCCCCACTAGCGCTGCTTGATGAACTTGCATAAGGAGTTAATATTTTGTTCTTGCCTCCAGTGTATTTAGTTACTTAGTGATCTAGCTGCTTGTCACCATAATTTGTCATAGCACATGACACTTCTGAATAATG